TCTTGGTCCTCTTCAATAGCATTTTTTATACAACAGGAGACCGTGACTAATTAATTTGTTATATAGCGTTCATCTGCTTGGCAAAGCAGGGTAACCCACAGCTATTCAATGGCATAATTAGACCTTTAAGTTAATGAAAAAGAGTTATTCCTCAATACACTAATGAAGTATTTTACATTCTCTTTTCATACAGGGGACTTGTATCCTACTCCAAGGGAAGGACATCATCTGGTTTAAATGGCATTGATTTTATTTAGAGAAAAAATTACACTGATCAATAAAAGTACATTCACTGTAGCTTTACTGTAGGCTAGTTCATATTAAATTGGGATCAAGGCAGATAATCATTCATATGTCAATGGGCTCCTAGAGCTGGTCCCACACCCGAATAAATGGGGAGGACATAGAATAGAATTTTGGCCAAATCAAGGATGTGTATCATAAAGAATGACATTTCTATACCAGATCGACCAATGCCCAGTTTCTGGTGCTGTTGGCCAATAGGGTGCTAGTGGAAACTGTGCTACTGTTGGCTGATTCCAAAGGGAAAGGAAAGGAAAGAGGGAAGGCATGTTAGGAAACAGCAAGAGAGAAAGAAAAGTGGAGAGTAAGGACTAAATATAGGGGCTATGAAAGGAAGAGAGCTGACTGAAATGATGAAGAGAAGATACGTAGATGTATTGTGTGTGCAGGAGGACAGACGGAGAGGAAGCAAGTCCCCGGGCACTGGAGGTAGATTCAAACTGGACTAAACACGATCGCAGACTTTAGAGGGAAAACCAGCACACCGCAGACCACGGCCTCTCTGTGTGAGGATCTAAACGTATTCTACGCTAGATTCGACACAGCGAACACCATGAGACCGGACAGTGTGCGCACCGCGGATGACGTCAGTGCGCACACTGTGTCTGAGGAGGATGTGCGGAGGTGCTTCAGGAAGGTGAACGCACGCAAAGCTACTGGTCCGGACGGGATTCCCGGCCGCGTCCTCAAGTCATGTGCGGCTCAGCTGGCTGGAGTGTTCACGCACATCTTCAACCTTTCCCTCTCTCTGTCTGTAGTCCCAGCCTGCTTCAAAATGGCCACCATCGTCCCTGTACCCAAATCCTCCACCATCTCCTCATTGAACGACTGGCGACCTGTAGCCCTGACCCCCATCGTAAGCAAATGCTTCGAGAAGCTGGTCAGGGACTTCATCTGCTCTGCACTACCCGACTCACTGGACCCTCTACAGTTTGCATACCGCCACAACAGGTCCACTGATGATGCCATAGCCCTGACACTACACACTGCCCTGTCACACCTGGAGAAGAGAGACACGTATGTGAGGATGCTGTTTGTAGATTACAGCTCAGCATTCAATACCATCGTTCCCTCGAAGCTGGACAGGAAACTGCAGGATCTAGGACTGAGCAGCTCCCTCTGCAGCTGGATCCTTAGCTTCCTGTCTGACAGACGCCAGGTGGTCAGACTGGGCAGCATCACCTCATCCCCCGTCACACTGAACACTGGTGCTCCACAGGGATGTGTACTGAGCCCTCTCCTGTACTCACTCTACACCTACGACTGCACAGCCACTAACAACTCCAACATCATTGTGAAGTTTGCGGACGACACTACAGTGGTGGGTCTTATCACCAACGGTGATGAGACGGCTTACAGGGAGGAGGTCAGCGCCCTGACCCACTGGTGTCAAGACAACCATCTCACCCTCAACGTCGCAAAGACAAAGGAGTTGATAGTGGACTTCCGGAGGTGCAGAGAAGTACACACCCCCATCATCATCAACGGCGCTGCTGTGGAGAGAGTGAGCAGCTTCCGGTTCCTTGGTGTACACCTGGCTGAGGATCTTACGTGGTCAGTACACACAAACAAAACAGTGAAGAAGGCGCAGCAGCGCCTCTTCTTTCTCAGGAGACTGAAAAGATTCGGCATGAGCCCCCGCATCCTCAGGACCTTCTATCACTGTGCCATTGAGAGCATCCTCACTGGATGCATCACCACCTGGTATGGCAACAGGGCAGGGATAGCTCAGTAGGTAGAGTGGTGGCCCCATGATCGGAAGGTCGGGGGTTCGATTCCCCTGAACAGCTACCCTGAGGTACCCCTGAGCAAGGTACCCTCCCCACACACTGCTCCCCGGGCGCCCAATGGCTGCCCACTGCTTCACTGAGTGAATGGGTTAAATGCAGAGAGGGATTTTCCCCACAGGGACCAATAAAGTACACTTTCTTCACTTTCTTCTAACAGCACCGCCTACAACTGCAAAGCTCTCCAGCAAGTAGTGCGGTGCTCTGAACGGATAATTGGAGGTGAGCTTCCCTCCCTCCAAGACATCTACAGGAAGCGCTGCCTGAGGAAAGCGGGGAGGATCATCAAGGACTCCAGTCACCCCAGCCATAAACTGTTCAGACTGCTTCCATCAGGAAGGAGGTTCTGCAGCATCCGGTCCCGTACCAGCAGACTGAGAGACAGCTTCTTCCATCAGGCCATCAGACTGCTGAACACGTCATAGACACCTCAGCTTCACTACTGGAACTTTAACATTATGCACTCCATACTGTACAGTAATGCCACTGTTTTGCACATGTCTCACTCTGTATATTTTTGTATATTTTATTTATTGTTTACTCTATTTAATTTGTAAAATATGTGTACACACACACACACACACACACGTAGAAAATATTTAGTATACACATCCAGAAATGCATATACTATTATATATTGTACATATATTTATTAGTTTCAGATGTAGCCATTCTTGTATTTTGCTTGTTTACATTATTGTATTTTGCACAACTCTGTTGCTTGTGAAGCTCGCACACAAGAATTTCACTCACATGTGCTGTACCAATGTACCTGCACATGTGATGTGACAATAAAAGTGATTTGATTTGATTTGATTTGAACTGTTCTTGTATAGATAGGAAGAGAAGTGGAGTAGGGGTAATCTTGAAGAAGAGTATGTGAACAGTGTCAGACAGGATACTGAGTTTGAAGCTGTAAATCAAAAGGGTGATGATGAATGTTGTCACTGCATATGCTCCACATGTTGGATGCCAGTTGGAAGAGAAAGAGGAATTCTGAAATAAGTTGGATGAAGTGGTAGAGAGTGTCCTAAGGTGGAGAGACTAGTAATTAAAGCAGACTTTAACGGACATTAAGGTGAAGGAAACATGGGAAGTGTTGGGTAGGTATGATGTTAAGGAGCGAGCACAAATGGTCATTAGTTTTGCGAAAAGGATGGAAATACTTGCGGTCAAGAAGAGGGAGGACATAGTGTAAGAATGGACAAAGGTTCACATATGTGGACGACATCTTCTGCAGAAGGCGCAGTGTGAAAGAGATAGGAGACTGTAATGTGGCGGCAGGGGAGAATGTAGTTCGGAAGCATCGTATAGCAGTGTGTGCTTTGGAAACCAAGAAAGGAAAGCACGTGAAGGAAGACCCAAGGATTAAATGGTTAAAGTTGTAGCGGGAAGAATCAATTCACTGCACAGAGGGAAAGTAAAGCTAAGGGAAACTACAAAGATTGTGTTTGGTTTATCATTTGAACAGAGGAAGAAGGACAAGGAGACTTGGTGGTGGAATAAGGAAGTGCAAAGTAGGTTAGTAAATAAAAAACTGGATAGTCAGGGAGATGAAGAAAGTAGACAGGAGCACTGGGAAGTTAGACGTGCAGTAAAGCGAAAAGTAGCAAAGGCAAAGAAGGAGCTTATACGGAGTTGTAATTGAGGCTGGACACTAAGGGAAGAGATGAAAACTGTAGGGATATGGAGACGAGGAGTCGGGTTGGAACTTTTCTCAGATTTGCATCGAGGAGAAAGATATGGCAATAGAGGAAAAACTTAAGTGGATGTCTGAGGAATGGAGAAGTATACTGGTACCAGTTATCAAGAATAAGAATGTAAAGACCTGTAAAAAATACAAACGGATAAGTTGATGAGCCATAACCAAGCCCAGAGAGGAACTGTGGTACTGCATGAGGAAGTCAGGAGGGGCAAGTATATGAGAGTGGCGAGGGAGGACAGGACAGTGGGGCAGTGGTGAGGTGTGCAGAACGAGTGACAGATGGGTTCAAGATGGGGGTGGGATTACATCAAGATCCTGTTCTGAACCTCTTGGTTGAATGACTGAAGGACATGTTTACAGATGAGGTCAGGCAAGACTCTTCATTGATTATGATGTTTATAGAAAAAATTGTGATCTGTACGTGGTGAGAGTAAGGAGCAGGTAAAAACAAGAGCCACCTGGAGGTATGTACTGGAGAGAAGAGGAATGAAAGTCACTAGAAGTGAGACTGAATACATGAGTGTGAATGAAAGAAAGAAAGAGACAGCTAGATAGATGAAAATGCAAGGAGTAAAGTTAGTGAAGGTAGATGAGTTCAGTTATGAGTACCTGGCGATTGTCAGGAGTGATTTGTGACAGAAGGACGGCAGCCAAAATGAAAGGGAACATTTACAAAATTATAGTGAGACCTGCTGTGATATATGGTTTGGAGGTGGTGGCACTGACAAAAAGAGAAGGAGGCCAAGCTGGAGATGTTAAGATGACCATAATGGATGAAGTCAGGGGGACAGCTAAGGGTGAATGGTTTCGATATAAAGTAAGAGAAGCAAGATAGGCAAAGCTGAGTGAATTAGTTTGAAACAGCTTGATTAAACCTTTAATTAATAATAATAATAATAATAATGGATACTTTATTGATCCCCATGGGGAAATTACTTGTTTTTCTCTGCATTTGACCCATTCACTCAGTGAAGCAGTGGGCAGCCTACACTGCATATAAACGGAGCAGGGAATACATACATTGTACTCGTAGCAATGTTTATATGTATGTATTATGAATCATCCCACTTAAATGAAACAAAGAGGCTGCGGTTATTATTATTATTATTATTATTATTATTATTATTATTATTTCTACGTTATTTCTACGCGCCTCCTTCGCGTCCCTATTGGTTGTTGAGATTTTTTTGGAGCATGCAATTGGCTGTGTGGCGTAGCGGGAGGGATAATGTTCAGGAAGTGAAAAGGGGTTTGTTTCTGTTTCCAATTTACAGGGCAGCAGTTTGTGCTGGAACCCAGCGAGGAAAGCGTAGTTCAAATTACCTATCGGTGTGTTCTTAGTTAAGAATCCCAAGGGACGACGTGCGGCTTTTCTTCATCTCGGCGGTTACTGAACATTTCAGCCCGTGAGTCATACTGAAGAACTTCTCATTAGCTGAGTTTAGCAGGTTGCTAATTAAGTTTTCTAACAGTAAATGTCTTTGCAGAGCAGTTCTGCCAGTAACTTTTAGCCAACACTGTAGTGTTTTTATCGGTCTTGCGTTGTGCTGTATTCAGCTGTCATTCCATTTTTTATTAGGGTTCTTGTGTTATTAGCTAACTGTTTCTACTACTGTTAGATAGCCGTTGGTCATAGCAAACATTCAAGCTGACCAAAAACTCCATGTGATAAACACAGTCAGTGAGTCGTTAACGTTTTATGTGTATATTGTGCTAAGTACTTGTGAAATATAGAACTATACTTTAATAATGGTCAGTTACACTCGCTGTTTTAGTTTTGTTTTTCAGTAACTGCTTCAGCCTCGTGTGAGTGCGTCATTAACTCCCTTGGAGGTTTTCCAGAGCTCTTGAGTAAGTCCATAAACAGCCCTGATTCCTTTTCCTCATAGGCATACAGCGTTCTGTGGTTTCAGGGCGTTACATGTTTTCATATATATATATATATTTTTTTTTAAAACAGTCTCAGTTTTTATGGCACCTCCACGAAAACCGGTGCTACCCAAACCTCTTCCAGGAGGCTTCATACTAATAGACACTGATAAGAAGAAATGGAGGCTGGGGAAAATCATCGGGCAAGGTGGCTTTGGACTGATCTATCTTGGTAAGGAGCAACGTGTCAGATGACAAACCTACACATGCGCACACACGAAAGCTTGTTTTATGCCAGGGGTAGGCAACTCCAGGTAATTTTGCCATTTGAATCAGCTGTGTTGGATCAAGGACGCATCTAAAACCTGCAGGACACCGGCACTCGAGGCCTGGAGTTGCCTACCCCTGTTTTATGCTTTATCATTCACTTCATGGGTATTCACCTATGGAGGGGGTTTTCAACCATGGAGGTGCAGTCCCCCAGAAGCCCAGCAACACATAGCTGTGGGTGACATGCTTCTCTCATTCCATTTCTAGAAAAAGCTTGAAAAATCATTAAAGTTTAAACAATACAGTATGAAAGGCACAGAAAGCAAGTTGCTGTAGTGGATCCTTTTTTTTCGTTTTTTTTTTTAAACAATGGTTTCACTTCAAGCCTTTGTATGTTATAACTGCTTTTTTCCACGCAAGAGTTGTCCACAGACCAGCTGTATCACATACTTTGGACACTACCTCAATCTGACAGCAGATGCGCTCTGCAGGTAGATGGCCTGTCCCTTGCTCTCTACAGTCTGCCAGTGTATTGCACTTGAGCCCAAAATGAGTCTTTGAATTTCCGCAAAGACTGACTGAGGACGAACAGATTTGTGATTGTTGTTGATTTTTCACAGCTAATTGCTGTATTGTCACAGACAGATTGCATGTAATTGTCAACTTGACCATATTCAGTAACAAACTTATAACAGGGTGATTCTTATTGCTGTTGTATCTCGGTCTTAAAATGCACCAACAAGATGGCAACTGAATGTGAGTGGTCATAAACCTGGTCGCCATCTTCAAAACAACCTTTTCAAAGGCAACGAGATCACATGCTCATTCCATACAGGCAACCACCATATTCTCTTGCGTGACTGGAGGAGAATCTGGTCCTCCCAGTGGCAGTAGACTGTGCTACCTTCAAGGACAGGAAACACAGATTGAGGATGAAGTCATATGCTGACAAACCGCAACATTTATTAATGTTTCAGATTTTTATTGTGTAATTTTCTTTTCTTTATGTTGTATTTCTTGATGAAATTAAAATGTTTTTATTTGTTTTACTTCTGACAGAATGCCTCATTGTAAACCAATATAATTGCTTATCTATGCAAAAATATTAAATAAATACAATTTTATGCAAAATCTTATTTAAAGTAATATCCTAATATTCCATGAAACTGCCAGGATTGTAAAAAAATTCAGTGGCAAGCTTTTAGGTGCACAGGCACCGCTGGAACATAAATGTTGATGCTTGTTATAAACTGACTTTTCAGTCCCTCTAATATGTATAGATCTTTTTATTTCCAAACAGATAACTGCTTACATGCACAAATCCAGTGATGAAAACACTCGTATACATTTCCTTCTGGCCTTGGATATATTTTTAAGATCCAAGAGGCCTGCTCTCATCCATGAATTATGTTGTCTCGTCTTCATTCTGTCTTCTGTTATGTTTCAGCCTCCAAGGACATTGACAGACCTGTTGGAACAGACACTGACTTTGTCATCAAAGTGGTGAGTACATATGTTGCACGCACAGCTGACCTGTCCACCTTCAGGGACACGTTAATGCTGTGATACTTGAATGTGGCTGCACTATGCTGCTGGCAGTAGAAAGCAGGTGTAACTGTGGTTATTGATATTAAATGACTAGACTGTTATACAGCAAAATGACGTTTCCTCTTTTTTTCATTTTCTATTTCACCAAATATCACCTGACTTTCTCACATGGACCAAAAATAAACATGAGAGCAAAGTGCAACCAAAGTCGGTGTGATGATTCCTCCAACTTTGCACAAGAAGTAATGTTTAGTGTTAACAGAATGGCCTTTGATGGAATCCACATGTTCTTCTTGCTTGGAAGTTGTCACACGTGTGTCTTTTTGTGCCAGTTATTGGACTATAGTGAAGGGAACAAAACTTTGGTGACAGCATCTTTATCTGTTTATCCCTTCAATAAAGATGCTAAAATAATGCACAGGCCATAAGCCACATTCTTTGTTTACTTGCAAGCAGAAATGCTTTGGACTTGAATTAGTGTCTTCAGCCTAAAACACGAGGCTGAAAACAAAAGGCGACAAAGCTTTTGTAACTGTGGCCCCCAGATTGTGGAACTCTCTCCCTTTGAGCCTGAGATCTGTGGACTCCGTGGTCTCGCTTTAAAAAAAAAAAAAAGCAGCTAAAAACTCATCTTTTTAAACTTGCTTTTGGTTGATTTTTATTTTTAGGTTTTAGCTTCTGTGAAGCACTTTGTGATTTTTATCTTGAAAGGTGCTATATAAATAAAATTTTACTTACTTTACTTACTAGTGTCCCCAAGATGCTCTGAAACCTGAAACAGGAATCAGAGATGTCTAATTAATGCCTGTTTGTCTATGTGCCGTACAGAAAAAATGCACAGTAAATTCAATTAAATCCCAACCAAAGTCAGAGCTTAAATATTGACACATTTTGGTTTTAAAAGGGCTTATGTCCTGGACTGTGTCTTGGCTGGGAGCAGTAACTTCCTGAAATCTCTGCTGGTTGCATTGCAAACTCTCAACGACACCAACAGTTTAGGAGGTGTGTGCTTCCAGTTAGGAAACAGTCAATCACAAATACTAGTTTTTACGGTTTCTTTATTTTCATCTCATCCCCTTTCACCTGGATGAGAAGGTTCTGTCCGTACACCTCATGTTACATGGCTCTACTTCTGCCGTTTCGTCAGGGTCTGACTCTGGGTTCTGAACCAGTCCTATACATGCTAAATTTTCTTGCTGCTTCCTGATGTTCCAGTGAAATAAATGGGAAGAAGAAAATATTGTTTGATGTTTTACTGTCAGCTGTTTAATTTGAGATATAACAATAACTAATCCCTCTCTTAAGCAAGCTCAATAAGTCAAGTAATCAATCAGTAGTCAATTAATTATTATGCTGTGATGCTAAATTAAGCTAATGCTATTATTCTAATTCTATTTGTCAGCTAGCAGTGTTATTGTATGTGTAACTGTGTGAAGTAGTTCTAAAAGATCTTCGCAGTGACAATTGCAGTTAACATAAGTTTGGGCATGGACTTGAGCTAAAAAAAAAAGAAAAAGCATTTAGAGTTGCACGGGGCTGTTCACATGGGTTCACGAGACTAAAGTTAGACAACATTCATGTGTCATCCAGGTATTTTTATGATTTCTCCCGATACATAAGGAATAATAACATAAACAACCAGGAAACAAAGCATTGAAACAGGCATGTAAGTGACATGATGCTCACTGGCCGAGACACAAATTTTTTTCACAATTTTACCTTTTGGAATTAGACACAGACAATTAACTTTTGCATGGTCACTGGTTAAAGCTGCACTGTGCTAATACTGTGTGCTCATACATGCAGGAGTACCAGGAGAATGGCTCCCTGTTCTCGGAGCTCAAGTTCTACCAGAGGGCAGCCAAACCCGAGAGCAGTGAGTAGCACCACCCGTCCAGTGTCCCGGCAGCTTGCTGGAGCACAAGAGCGTTTGACTGATGAAGTGGCTGCAGACTCAGAGGCTTTGCTGAGTGCTGCTCAGTAATTAATAATAAGCCAAAACAAACATGCACCTCAGTGGCAGTTGGGCCCCACTCTCCGTGCTTGTCTGAGCTCTCCAACGCCTTCGTTTGGAGAGGAAGCTACTCACACGTAATGATGCCCGGGCCTCCACTGAGCCCCTGACCACCTGCCAGCCTGGTTGAGAGCCAGTCAGGCCAGCCGCCATCAAGCCCTGAGCCAGGCCCACTGCTTTGTCTGGGGCCTCTGTGTGTGTGTGTATTTGTAGTCCCAATAAGATTGATATTTGTATGCACACGTTCTTACACTTACAAGGACAAATCTTTTTTTCTTTTTTTTTTTTCTTTTTTGGCAAAACATTTGCCTACTTTTCCTAGAGCTCAGTTTTTGTTTTTTTGTTTTTTTGTTCAGACACAATAGCTCCATGTTAGCACCTGTGTAGATGCATACCTGTGATTTTTCCTAAACTTGTTCCAGTGCAAAAATGGAAGAGAAGCAAGAAGCTGGACTTCCTGGGCATCCCGACGTACTGGGGGTCAGGAATTGCAGAATATAATAACCTCAGGTATTGACACAGTCAACACTAATAGGTTTGATTAACTCATAGGTTGCTATGATTGTTTTGTTTTTTTTGCAGCCACCAAATTTTAAGCAAAGAGAAAATAACTTGAACAATGCTGTGTTTAGATTCATAAATGTAAAAAAAAGCAGGAAGAAAGAGCAGCGTGTTTCTAATGTTATTAAATTTAATAATGCAGCTGTCCTAACTGGAATGAGTGTAGTATTTTGTAGAAATTGACACATTTGGTATTATTTTATGTTTTCCTTAAAAAAAATAAATAAAAGTGTGTGTGTGTGTGTGTGTGTGTGTGGGGGGGGTCTGGTTTCATAACCGAATGTAACATAACAACTGTAAATATGATATTTTACATTCAGTTATGAAAACCAGATCAGGTCTTCGTGTCAGTTTTGAAGCTATTTTTTTTCTCTCTGCCTTTCCATGCATCTATTCATGTGTGCACTGTCTACATGAAGCTAATTAGAGACGTATATTGACATTGATATAGATTATTAACACATATTAATAACTTATAAAAAAGATTAATTGCCTCTTGACTTAATGCTTATTACAAGAACCTTAATATAAAGCATAACTGAAAAAAATTTATTTTCACTGCATATGGCTGTATTATAGCCTTAATCTAACCAGAAGATGCATCAAAACACAAACGGAGCATGTTTGTGTTCTGTCATTTTTTTTCATCATTTAGCTCCATGAAGTTTGCTCTAAAGTAGACTCTTTGGGCAGAACTTAAAAATGGTAAAATATTTGGAACGTAAAGGAAAAGGAGCTCTGGGGTTTTTGAAACCAGGCCAAGCTGGCTTTTGTTCGTGTTCTGTACATGAGTAAAGTGGACATCAGTATTTATTTGTGCTGTCATATATCAAGTAAATTGTATGCACCAGGGGTGGTGGTCCCCATCTTTAAGAAAGGGGACCGGAGGGTGTGTTCCAACTACAGGGGGATCACACTCCTCAGCCTCCCTGGGAAAGTCTATGCCAGGGTGCTGGAAAGGAGAGTTCGTCCGTTAGTCGAACCTCTGATACAGGAGGAACAATGCGGTTTTCGTCCTGGTCGCGGAACACTGGACCAGCTCTTTATCCTCTCCAGGATACTTGAGGGTGCATGGGAGTTTGCCCAACCAGTCTACATGTGTTTTGTGGACTTGGAGAAGGCATTCGACCGTGTCCCTCGGGGTGTCCTGTGGGAGGTGTTGCGGGAATATGGGGTGTCTGGCCCATTGCTACGGGTCATTCGATCCCTATACAACCGTTGCAAGAGCTTGGTTCGCATTGCCGGCAATAAGTCGGACTCGTTCCTGGTGGGTGATGGGCTCCGCCAGGGCTGCCCTTTGTCTCCGGTTCTGTTCATAATTTTTATGGACAGGATTTCTAGGCGCAGCCAAGTGGCGGAGGGCTTTCGCTTTGGTGGCCTCAGAATCTCATCTCTGATTTTTGCAGATGATGTGGTTCTGTTGGCTTCATCGGGTGAGGGCCTCCAGCTCGCACTGGAACGGTTCGCAGCCGAGTGCGAAGCAGCGGGAATGAGGATCAGCACCTCCAAATCTGAGGCCATGGTTCTCAGCCGGAAAAGGGTGGAGTGCCCACTCCGGGTCGGGGATGAGTTCCTGCCCCAAGTGGAGGAGTTCAAGTATCTCGGTGTCTTGTTCGCGAGTGATGGGAGAAGGGAGCCGGAGATCGACAGACGGATTGGGGCTGCAGCTGCAGTAATGTGGACGCTGCACCGGTCCGTCGTGGTGAAGAGGGAGCTGAGTGTAAAAGCGAAGCTCTCAATTTACCGGTCGATCTACATCCCTACCCTCACCTATGGCCACGAGCTGTGGGTAGTGACCGAAAGAACGAGATCGCGGATACAAGCGGCAGAAATGAGCTTCCTCCGAAGGGTGGCTGGCCTCTCCCTTAGAGATAGGGTGAGAAGTTCGGCCATCCGGGAGGGGCTCAGAGTAGAGCAGCTGCTGCTCCACATCGAAAGGAGCCAGCTGAGGTGGTTCGGGCATCTGACAAGGATGCCCCCTGGGCGCCTCCTGGGTGAGGTGTTCCAGGCATGTCCCACCGGGAGGAGGCCCCGGGGAAGACCCAGGACACGCTGGAGAGATTATATCTCTCGGCTGGCCTGGGAACGCCTTGGTATTCCCCCGGATAAGCTGGAGGAGGTGGCTGGGGAGAGGGAGGTCTGGGCCTCTTTGCTTAGGCTGCTGCCCCCGCGACCCGGCCCCGGACAAAGCGGATGAAGATGGATGGATGGATGGATGTATGCACCAGTGTGAAATCCACATGTATAACAACCAAAGTTTAAAAAAAACAAACAAAATCAAGCAGATAAACTGATTTTAAGAAGGGGAGGTTGCGTGTGCTTTCTTAAAAGCTCTGTCATCTGCTTTAATATCAGATTTCAACCATCTAGCCTTAGAATTAAGGCAACTGTAGTAATTATTTCCAATAGAATATCTGCTTTTAGTCAAAACGTGTTGGGGTGTTTTTCACATCACTGTCAGTATTAGATTTTTTTTCTGTTGTTTTCTCTGATATTTTTATTTGATTTTTCATCTTTGTTTGCTATATTATGACTCTTGTTTGTGAATCTTATGAAAAGCGTCAGTTATTTGGCATTTTGTTCCACTGTTTTAAATAAAACATCCTGTCATAGTCTTTTATACAAAGTACAGTTTCGGTGTGGGTCGTTAGTAAATCTGGTGTTGTGTTATGTCAGAATTAGGACAAGAGTTTGAGCTTTTCTTCTCTCACTCAGGTATCGTTTCATGGTCATGGATCGACTGGGAAGTGACCTTCAGAAAGCTTGTGAGTCCAGTGGAGGCCAACTGAAGAAGACCACTGTTCTCCAGCTTGGACAGAGACTGGTGAGATAATTATCATATTTTGACCTGTTCAATAATACCAGTATAAATAAGCTGAGGCAGCCTGATCGCCTATCAATGACACAGTTAAAGGCCAGTTTGTCAAATTATGACCCCGTTTTACCAAAACGTTCGTTTTACTGCATTACTATCTGCCTATAAAATTCTTGTTTTGTATGTTTTTGATTCTTGTGCCAGGTGGATATACTGGAGTACATACATGAGAATGAGTACGTCCATGCTGACATTAAAGCTGCCAACCTCATGCTGGGTTACAGGGACCCTGAACAGGTCAGTCCACTGCAGATCCCTGGTACAGTTACAGGAGAGAATAAAACCCGCTGTTTTTCTTTAAACTGCATTGATCTTAAATATAACCCAAAACAATATCTGTTTCATTAAAGTTATAAAAAAGATGCAGAGGATTCAGTTAAACAATTTCATCTAGCAGAAGGCAACATTGCAGACATTGACGACAGATACAAGTACCTGGGAATCCCACAGGCAAATGGGAACCACGAAGAGGCCGCTAGGAAAGCGGGAGGAAGGAGGCCAAGGGCTAGTGTGTGTCAGTACCACAGTGAGACAACGAACATCCACGAGTACATAAGGAAGATGGCCACAACTGGCTGCATGCTCAGTGAATACCTCAGGTAGCAGAACCTCAAGAAAGAGGAGCAGAAGAGGAACAATCATGGAAGGACAGGGCGCTGTACGGTATGTACCACCGGCAGATAGAGGAGGTGGCTGATATCCAGAAATCCACCAGTGGCTGGACAAAGCTGAACTGAAAGACGGCACAGAGGCACTAATCATGGCAGCACAGGAAGAAGGTCTGAGCGCAAGATCCATAGAGGCTGGGGTCACACCAGGCAAGAAGCCGGATGCAGGCTGTGTAAAGATGCCCCTGAGACAATCCAGCACATAACAGCAGGGGGCAAGATGCTAACAAACGGGGAACACCATAACCAAGTGGCCGGCATAGTATACAGAAACATCTGTGCCAAGTATGGCCTGGAAGTCCCAAGGTCAAAATGGGAGACACCCCCAAGGGTGGTCAAGAAGATCACCCAAGCTAAGATCCTGTGGGACTTCCAGATACAGACAGACAAAATGGTGATGGCTAACCAACCGGATATAGTGGTGGTAGACAAGCGGAGGTTGACGGCCATAACAATAGACGTAGCGATACAGAATGACAGCAACATCAGGAAGAAGGAACTCGAGAAACTGGAGAAGTACCAAGGGCTCAGAGAAGAGCTCGAGAAGATGTGGAGGGTGAAAGCAACAGTGGTGACAATGGTAATCGGAGTGTTCAGTGTGGTGACCCCCAAGCTAGACGACTGGCTCCAGCAGATCCCAGGATAGCACAATGACCCAATATTAAATATCTGTGAGAAGGGAAAAGTCTGTTTTTAGTGAATGTCTGACAGTTTTCAGGAGGTGCCCTTTCTTTTTTTTTTTTAAAGAAGAGGGATCTATAGGATACCCAAGTCTATCATTGGAAGAATATAAAATAATCCATGTCATGACTGGAAGGTGAAAGTACTGTTCTCAAGTCACTGCTGCTGTCTGCAATTTGCTAAAGATATTGATGAAAAGCCAGAAAGCTGTTTGAAAGAGAGTGTCATGTTTGGAGAATGGAAAAACTGTACCTTATCTGTTGAAAGCAGATATATGGTAATGGATGTTTTCCCCCTGTATATCAACTCCACTATTTTCACTTAGTTTAATCAGCTTTTCTTTTCCTGCTTTGCTTAATTTTGAGACAATTGCAATGCTTATGCAGAAATGAAAAACATTTCAAAGGTTTCACAATTTTTTCCTGCAACTGTTGACGTCGCACAAACTCACATGTATCTTTAAGATGGGAAGACTATTTTTTTTTCTGTCCTGTTGGGAACTATAGGTCTACCTTGCAGACTATGGGCTGTCCTACAGATACTGCCCTGATGGAGTCCACAAAGAATACAAGGAAAACCCCAAGAAGGGCCATAATGGAACCATCGAATACACCAGCATCGATGCCCACAAAGGACTCTGTAAGCACTTGACTTTTTAAATAGTTAAACATAACAGAAAATAAAAACCTGTCTAAATGTTCAAATTTTATGTCAGGATATTAATGGTTGGTTTACGTGCCTGGTAAATTACACACAATGGAATATATGACCCACACAACTTGTTTGTAGGTAAGCTAAATAAAGCTTCACCATACATTTGCACAGTCCATTTGCCTCCATACATCTTTGTTTTGGTCAGTAACTTTTATGGAGTACAACATTCAAAGGGGCTCATTCTGTCTCGTTAAGTGTTCAGTTCACTTAACAGTCAGCAGTCCTGTACAAATTTAATTCTCAACCATTTTCCACACATCTTTGCTTGATGATCTTCAACTTAAGTCCAGATTATAATTATTACTGGCCTACTTAAATGGAAATTGGATAAATAAGATACCACCAGGTACTTAAATTGCTATAAGAAGACACCCCTGCTTATTACAGGGGCAATTGTGTCAGTATTAATTAAAGTGGTCCGCACTTGCACACCTACAGCAAAGTTTCTGAAGCTTATGATGATTCGAAACAATCTTCCTCACTTTGCCAATTGCCGTGTAATGTCCTGTGAATTGTTTCCACAGCAGGGCCAAAGCCCTGAGAAGATTAAGCAAATTAGTCCACTGATGCATCAAAAGTCTGATGCTCCAAATTCCTATTGTATCTGATTCTCTGCAAACATGGGCAACAAATCCTGGACTTGTCTGTCTGCTGGCGGCCTCATACTGGCTATTGCTGCACACAAACTACAAACAAAGAAATGTTGCGGTCTCTCTGAAAATGCCTGTGGAATAATAATGCTTAAAACGCATTGCTTGCTTGACCAACGAACAACATTCTGATCAGGGACTTCTTATAGAGGCTAAAACGATCATACCTGAATCATACCACCCTCATTTCTGTGATGGAAACACAGTTAAACATGAACAAAGTTGCATTATTGAAAATTAGATTGAGCTACTTAATGTGTTAGTAAAAAATACTCTTAGTTAGTTAAAAAGAGTTCTGACATATTAGCAGATGTAGCGTTCGTCTGCTAATATGTAGGTGAATGCTACATATCAGCGTTTCTCTAGATTACATCATTGATATCATATTTTAGTGCTCCTGAAACTGATCAAAAAAACTGATTACAAATGTATTTTGTTTTTACTGGCCACAGTGTATTATTATTAGTAGTAGTAGTAGTAGTCGCATTATTTGTGTTGTTGTTGTTGTTGTTGTTATTAGATGTATTTTTCATTAAAATAATGAGGAAAGTTTCCATGATACTGACAGTAAAATGAACAAAGACTGAAAAATGCCCCCTACCTCATTTTAACTTTCAGATATGGTCTTCTAATGCAAACTACCAGAACAGAGACATTAACTTGATTAAGTATGTCAGATTTTACAACTTAGAATGAAAGGTGTTCAAAATTCACAAAGTGCTTTACGTTATCTTTACTAAGGCTACTATAATGTCTATTCTTTCCGTCTTTATCAATAGATGTAAAGTAGTGTCCACTTGAGCACCGTCTGGCTTCCTTGCTGGTATTGGGAACACATTAACTGGCAAATTGCCTACCTGCTCCCTTTCCTCATTGACCATCGATTCTCCATCCGCGGCCCCTGCTGAATTCCCCAGCACCATCTCTGTTTAACAATTCCCTAATTAGCTAAAGTCATAACCTGCATCGTGTTTTCATCCCCCCATTAATTAAGGGCTTTGATGTTTGGTTAGAGCAAGTCACAGATAACCCCTGTGAGCTCCACACCGACCAACTCCACTACCCACCGGTTCAATATTGTGAGTTAGCATGGCTCAGACTGCCTAATCTCCATGGGAGAGTTTCTATCAGCATAATCAATAATTGAAAGAGGTTCAGATTGTGTCCTGTCAGCAAAACCTATCACATGAAAAGCATGTCAACTGTAAAATGTTTAGAAGAGGGAAAAGAAGGCGCAGAAGAAAGAAAGATACTGTTTTTTTCCCACATTTTTCTTTTCTTTTAGTTGGTATCTGGCAAGCAAATTACTTATTAACTTTCTTGATAATATTTTGTCTTTAAGCTTTTTTTTTTTTTGCTTTTTTTTGCTTTTTTTTAAAATCAAGACACAGTTTAACACACATTCTAGTTTGGTACTTACAAACTTTTCAGGTACTTAATTGTTAGAAAAGAAATCCAAAGAATAATTAACTGGTCACATATCAGGACCAGAGACTGTAAAGAAAAGCTAGATATAGAGACGGTTAATTCTCTCATTGATTTCTCGACTCGTGCATCTCACCTGTTAATCTAAATAAGATGTCTTGAGTTTTCAGCAAGTGCTAGCAAGCTTGGTTACTAAGCTGCGTTAATGGCTGGCCTCTCCCTTAGAGATAGGGTGAGAAATTCGGCCATTCGGGAGGGGCTCAGAGTAGAGCCGCTGCTCCTCCACATCGAAAGGAGCCAGTTGGGGTGGTTCGGGCATCTGACAAGGATGCCTCCTGGGCGCCTTCTGTGCGAGGTTTTCCGGGCATGTCCCACCAGGAGGAAGCCCCAGCCGTGCTCTCCTGTACAGTACAGAATCGCTACATCGATCACTAGCAATGTGACTCTGAAGTGCTGTACTGTATGTTTGTAAGTTTTCTCCCCAACAAACACAACAATGTCGATGAAATGTTTTGCACCATCAAAGGCACCTGCGGTAGCACCCAAAAGGCAGAGGAAGATGCTAACCGTCGCACAAAAAGTTGGACTTCTGGACATGCTAAAGGAAGGTAGCAGTTGCCGTATTTTTTAAATTTTTAAATTTTTAAATTTTTAATTTATTTTTTTTAACCATACTGCACACCGGATTATAAGGTGCATTAAGCTTAAATTTAGCAATTAATCTTAATCTTAAATTCATTAGTTCTAAAATCTGTCATTATAATTTATAGAAAAACAAATCTACTGTAGGTTTATTTCTCAAATAAATGTTTGGGACTGAAAACAGGTTTTGATCTTTGGTTTCATTCTATAATGGCCTTTGTTTTGTTTTTTTTTTGTTTTTTTTTTACAAAGCTTTGAACTTTGAGAGTGTTTAAACACCTATCCCTGGTTATTTTTAGAACATAACATCCGCGATAAATGAGGGAACTCTATATACAAATACTGAGAAATTTCAATCCCTTCTCTCTTTTGCTCTGAGGCACGAGGGAAAAATATCGACAAGTCCACCAACATCATCTACAGATATATTCGGCAAATGCCCAAGACATCTTGAGAAATGCAAATCGCTGCTTGATTCGTCCATTTGGTTGACTTTTTTTGGAAAACCCGACCGTAAACAAGACACGAATATCACACTGGAAACAAAGCGCCCTACAGGAGTTTCCCCACCGGAAGTAGCATATGCTAAGTTGCACATAGTCTATAGCTGTTTATTGAAGGAAGAAACTACCCATAGAAGCCAAAGCCACTTCTTGTACCAGGCTGTAAACATGCTTTTTAATGGTGTGTGGTTTGACATTTTACACTGGACTCGATTTTTGTCGCCAGTCTCAAACAACCTCTCCAAGAACTGCATTTTTGGGCACTTCCAAGTTGGACTAATTTTTTGGTGTTTCCGCTTCGTTAAACTTGATTTCTCCGAAAAAACGTAAAGTGACAACATCAAGCGACTCTTAGAGCCAACAGCAATAAAAAAGTTTTGTTTTTTTGTTTTTTGTTTTTTTTTTGACTGGTGCCTGAGCTACACAAAAATTCGACATGCTTAACATTCTAGATATTGTTATATTTAATACCTGCTTAGCTGGACCGGTAAGTGTTAGAGTACATGTGACTGCTCTTGGAGATATAGTTTAAGAGCTTGACCCTTCTATGCCCTGATGGCAACAATCCCCACAAAGATGTTGACAGGTTACCATGGTGACGAGTGCCGGCCTATGAACTTGGAGTTAAAAAGTGTAATTACCGCCATTCGGTGGGCGGTCGGCAGACAGAAGACAGTCTCTGAAAGACAAGACTGTGAAGCAGAAGGGTTAAGAGTGTGACACCGCAGCGTGCTTTAGAGAATCTGAATAACAATAGGAGATAATTGACAACAACAGCATCACTTCCTCACCTCCCTGTCTAAAGCATGTAGAGAATGCATGTGTATGCCAAGAATGCTACGTATGCACGATACTTGTGTATTTATGTTGTGTCCAATCTTCCGTTGAGTAAGTGTTTATATGTGATGGTATGTACTCAGATGCAGCTGTCTCTGTTGTCTTGTGCTGTTGAGGACAGTATGAGGGGAAATGCTTACATGAATACAGAGGAGCAGACACACAAAATGCTATTTTGAACTGCGATAACAGAATACACAAAGGTCTGCAGCACTTACTGTAGCTGTTGTCTTTTTAATTGTTAATCTATTATAGCACTCTGGAAGTTGCAACACTTATTTCTAGTGTCAGTATCACATGTATTTTTCATCTTTATTCCCTTTCAGCTGGCTCCTGGTATCTATGGAGGGCTGTGTAATTATTTACAACAATAGGCAGCCTCAGTGTAACACTGACTTAATGCACACTTTACACCCACAAGGGCAAACGCATCTAACTCTTGTTATCAGAGTTGTTGAGATGAAGCGTGGCACATGACGACAGTTTCTTAAATGTTGGATTGCTCTTTCTTCTGTTTTCTCTGTGGCTTTGTGCATATCTGTTTTGTTTAAAAAGTAGCCATTAAAGATGTTATTCAGGACTGGTTCTACCATTTTAAGTCATTGAAGTCATCTTTATTTAGGACTTTATAATATATCCCGTCTTTCCCAGGTTTGCTTATTTTAACAAAGACTAAATTAAAAATGAAATCATGTGTGAAAAAATATTTTAAATTCTGAACTCTTTAACCCTTTCCCCCATGAAGATGAAATTTGTTAACTTTCCCTTTACCCTTAATGACAAGTTTTGACACCTTAGTATACATCAATAAAGACAGTTGGGTAGCTATCAGAGTAGTTCCCGGGGTTTTCAAAAGGTATTATACAGC